CTTTTAAAATTCCAGGTTTCTCTCAAGGGGCATGTGGTCCATGGGCAGGTGCCAGGGAAACACAAGGACTTTTTTTAAAGACCATTTTGTACATAGTTGGTGAGATGAGAAGCTGACCTGGTCAACTTCAGAGGACATTTGGACTTTTTTCTATTATGCTCTAAACCAAGGGTTTTTAACCTATGGTCTGTGATTTTTTTTTTCAAAAGAACTTACAACTACATTCAACATAGTTGTTTTCCTTTGTAATCCTATATGTTTTATTTTATTAAAAACATTATTCTGAGAAAGGCCCTTTGAGAATAGAATCTCTGCCCCCACATGTACTACCCTTATTTTACTGATGGGCAAAATAAAGGTTTACCAGGCTGCCAGAGGAGGCCATGATGCTGAATGGGTTAAGAACCCACTGGTCTAGGGAGACTTGGGAATGGGAGACTTTCCTCAGGTAATGGTTTGAGAGGCAAAAGTTGGTTCCGCCTATTACCCTGAGAGGCCCTGCCCACTATCCAGGCATCTCAGAAATTCCCTAAGCTTGTATCGTGGCAAGCATCCAATCCACAGGACTGGCTTCTTCTCCGCCTGATGGAGTCAAAAGGGTTCTGCTGTGTTGGAGTTTGGAAGGCTTGGGTTTAAATCCCACTGTTGCCACATCCTGCCAAGGGGGCCTTGGCTAAGGTTCTTTTAACCTCCTCAATTATAAACTTGAGGGTCTGGTCTAGATGACCCCTAAGATCTCTTTAAGCCCTAAGTCTATGTCTACTCTACAGAGGCAATTGAGTAATCCTTCCCCTTCTTTCACTCCCCCCACCAATAAAAATCCCTCAAAAGATTTTTACAGACATTTTTCCATAGGCAGAGGGTGAAAAGGCAAAGACTATTTTATGAAAAATTAGCCCTTGGGACATGGTAGTTTCTGTCTGAACTCAGGGAGAGGGATGGGAAATGTGCCTTTATTGGCATATGGGACTCCTGGATGGAGAAAGTCCCTCTACCAATGCAAATAAGCATCTTTCCTTGATTTATAGTCTTAAAGGGTTATTTAGAGATAAAGTGAATTGCCCAGGGTCACACAGCCACTATCTGTCAGAGGTGAAACTTGAACCCAGGCCTTTGTGGCCTTAAGGTATGCTCTCTATCCATTATGTCACATTACCTGTCCCCTTATGATCTTAATTTTTTTTAACTGATGACAAAACACCCAGGGACTTTGGAAAGGAAAGGGAGGAGGGCGTTCCATTCACTTTTCTGCCGTAGTATTTGGTTTTCCCAGAAACAACCCCACTGTTTTATCATGTCTTTCCCTCTCATGTTGGTTGGGAACACCTGAAAGTAAGAGGCAGCATTCAGGGAATTTTACGGCAGAATCAGAATCTGTCAGCTGCTCTGCAGATGGCTAAACCAGAGAGAAGAACAAAAGGGTCTTTGGCTAGAAGGTCAAGGGTTAACTAGGCCAGTCCACCAAATGGCATTTGGTGAGCTCTTGAGGCCACCATCCAAGTTCGTGTCATTCTTCAGCAAAATACTCCTAGTGCTTTACCCCTTGGATAAAAAAAGACAATATTTCTTCAGAAGTTCAGCCAGCCCCTTTAAATATTGACCATATGCTGTCCTGGTGCCCCCAATCTAAAGGATAGCGAAGCAGCTTGTATGGCCAAACTCAGCTCTCTTAACGAGTCAGCCTCTTGGAAGAAGGAGTCCGGGGCTAGCTAGACTAGTTAAGAACTTTAAAGCCTTTTGAACAACACCAAAATGGTGGTAGTTTTTGCTTTGGAATCCTAGAAACTGAGGCCTGGAAAGGCCCTTTGAGAATCAAATCCCTGCCCCCACATCTACTACCTCCATTTTACTGATGGGCAAAATAAGGCCTAGAGAAATGGTATGACTCCCTCAGATTCACAAAGACTGTGTTGCAGACAAGACTAGAAGGCGGGAGTCTGCAATTCAGCATGCGAAATGAAGACATCAGAGGTTTAATATTATGACTCAGTCATCTGTGCTCTATCATGGGAGTGCAAATGTTTCTTTCACCACTAATAATGTTTCTAAACTTCATTTATATCATTGGTATACAGGCTGATTTAATTCAGTAGAGAAATAGCATACAGTGTAGAGGAGTTTCCTCTTCTCTAAAATGAAGAGGTCGGACCAGCTGGCCCCTCAAGGTGCCTCCTAGCTCTCAGAATCCACGACCCTTGGGAGGAGTGCCCCAGTCAGGGTGACTTGGACCCACAAGCATAGTGGGAGCAATCTGTCATCAGCTCCAAACTGTGACTCTGCTGGGTCTTTCCTTTGCCAGAGAAGTCCAGACACAGTTTTCTACTCCTTCCTACACACAGCTCAGCCCTAAATCACTGGAGACCCTTGATTAGCAGAAGATCCAGATCCACTGGACCTGCTGCTCTCCAAGGCACTGGCTTTGAGACTTTGCATCTACCCATGTCCAGCTTATTTGCTTCTTCCTTTTGAGACCCTGGTAAAATGACTAGGTTAGGTCCTATTCCTGCTACATCTCAGTCAGCAGCACTGACTGGCTGATTGGCTGACCTCAAGCAGGCTTTCCTTTCTGAACTATCTCCAGAGCCTGGCGTTCAAAGCACTTCCTTTTCTAGGGAATCCTCAGAGGGAGTGTGAGTTTGGTCTGGGTGTGCCTCCATCACTGATCTACTAAAAAAAAACAAAAAGTTGTGGGATAGGGCCCCCAGCCCCTGGCTATTCCTCCAGATGCTGCCTTGAAAGCAGCAGGCATATCCGCCCAAGAAAAGGCAGAAGAATCAGACCCATTGTCTTGTAGCAAATTCAGATGTCCGGTTTATTGGTTACGTTCTCGGGATAGCAGCGGCAGGATTCAGTTTGCCTCTCGGTAAAAAGGCAAGGAAATGAGCAAAATGGAAGGGCAGCCTTCCCAAGCTGGAAGGAAAACACCACAGAAAGGACCAGGAACAGAGAAGCTCATGCAAATAAAGGCAAAATGAGTGAGGTGTCTCTAGCAAACAGGGGAAGAAGGAAGGAAATCTCCATCATGGTCAAGTGAAGAATAGAGCCGGCTGAGCGTGACTCGGGAAGAAAGGACAAAGGCGGAGCGAGCTGAAGAAGTAGAATGGGGCCAGGCAAGTTTCTGGCAAGGCCTGGGAGATTCTCCTGGGCACCGTGGCTGGGTTTGCTCTTGAGTTTTCAGAAACACTTTGTCATTTTCTGCTTTAATGTCAACTGGTTTCCATCGTCACTCTGGATCAAGTGAGCTGCCAGCCAGAGAATTTGGGGGATGACAATAGGTACGAGAAAGGTCTTCAGGTGTGTTGGCAGCCCACACTGCCTCTGAGTCAGGGGGATGATGGCATGGCATGTGACCAACCCCGGGCTGAAGTGGTCAACTTGCCTGGCTCCTTCTGGTCCATCCAAGAGGAGTAAGAGAGAGGCCGTGTGAGAACACGACAGGACACGACAGTGGAAGAAAGGAAAAGAAGTCTATGCGGTTGCCCAGAAACGCCATGCTCATTGCGTCCTTTCCTTGTGTAGTCTCCAAACACAAGTCTGCCTATGGACATGGAGATCCCTCACGTGGTACAGCCCATCCCTGCTACCCCACTCAGGCTGCCTTTCACTCCCACTGACTGTGACCAGGCACTTAACAGAATTAGGTCTGTTGATTAGGTTCAGCCTCCCTGCACAGACCCATCCCTGTCTTCTGTTCCCTGCCTTGGCTCAGTGTAACACATGTGCCCATGGCCATGTGCCCATGGCCAGCAGCACTGGTGGAGTACATCACGTAAGCAAAAGAAGACAAAAAGAGGGGAAAAAGAACAAGCAATCCCTGGTGGGCTTGTGAATTTCTCTTTCACACTTGACCTTGAACTCCCTGGAAGCCCCTGCTTTCCTCCTAGCCCTTCCCTCCCTCCTCTCTTGGTGCCAAACCTCTGAATAAGCCCCCAGCCACAGCCCTGAGAAGGGCAGGGCAGGGCAGGGCAGGGCAGCTGGGGCTCTGACCCAGGACGTGGACGTTCAGAGAGAGCCGACAGGACTAAGGATCACACCCCTCCAGAGTTTAGCACGGAAACCCAAAGCTTGGCTCTTAGCACTGATGGGTTAAAACAGGAAGCTACTGAGAGCACTTCTTCCTGTAGTAAGGGAAACTTTGCCGCCCCACCCCAGGTGGGCTCCTCCTCGGCCAGCCCCTGCCCTGCTCTCCCTTCTTCCCCCAAACTGAATTTTCTTTAAAGAGGACTCTTTGGTGCTACTCCCCCAGGGGCTATCATTGCACCACACTGCCAACACGCCTCCAGTCACATTCACAGGACTGTAGGATCACAGATTTCGAATCGGAAAGATTGGCCCAATCCAATCCCCCTCATTTTTCAGATGAGGAAACTGGGGCCCAGGGAGGTGAAGTGACTTGCCCAAGGTCACACAGCAAATAAGTGCCCGAAGCACGATTTAAACCCAGGTCTTCTTGACTCCAGGTCCAGGGTGTGCTACCCGTGACACCACGGCTGCCTCTCAACCGGGAGACTGAGGAGTCCAGATGAGAATGGAGCTCCTAGGTTAGTGAATTCCCTTCCTGCAGTGTTAGAGGTATAAAGCTCGTGTTTGGAGAAAAAAAAAAAGCACATTACATTTTCCTCGTATCCATCCCGTTAAAGAAAGGGTACGTCCTAATTCCTAGTAAGATATCCCACTCTTTCTCTGGCCTACCACATAAAACCTAGCAGTCCTGCCGACTTAGCAGAATGGCTTCTGTCTACTGGGGCTGCCACGGATTCGAGGTGTATAAAAGGAGAGATACGCCTCACATCAGTGCTGTGTCCATCTTCGACCCATTCCAAAACGGTAAACTCTTTGGACCCGGCTGCGCGCTGGCCCAGCTGCTGTGATTAACTACGCTAAGGACTCTGCAGGGCACGCGCGGTGCCCGAGCACACTGCAAACGAACCCTCGCGAGCCACTCGGCCGCTGTGACTTTACTCTTCCGCGACATGGTTTGCACAGGACGGTTTCCACACCTGAACCGGGACGCCGCTTCTCTTGGCCGAGAACTTGGGCCTCGGAGCCACGAAGTAAGTGGCGGGGGCGGACTCAGGCTTGGGAGAGGCGGGCAGGGCTTCGGGCCCCACCGGCGTGGCGGCGGCCTCGGAGTACGAGGCCGGCTGGGCGCCGTAGGCTGGCACGGAGCACACGGACGAAGCTCGGAAGGTGGGGGCTGAGCTAGCGTGGACCGGCTGGGAGGAAGGAGCTGACTTCAAGACTGGCACCGGCGCCAGCTTGGCCAGGGGCTTCGGGACCGGGCCGTCCTTGGCACCCGGAGGTTGGAAAGTGAATAGCGACGCGTTGAGCTGATACGGCTGGTGCTTCATGACGTCTAGGGCGTTGAGGGGCTTCTTGGCCCTCTTCTTGCTGGCCTTGGGGGGGGCCGCGGCGCCAGGCTGCGGCTTCATCGCCGCCGGAGGGTAGGCTGGAGACAGGATGGGATTGTAAGCCACGGGCGGCGGCGCTCGCACGTTGGAGGAGTATTTCCAAGACGCTGGTAGAGACGGGGTGGGAGACTGAGCGCGGGCCATGTGGGCCTGCACTTTCTCCGAGTCCACCACGTACTTCTCCATCCGAGACTGCCTCTTGGCAAAGAGCTGGGCCCCTTTGCCCCTCAACTCCGGCAGCTCGCTCGGCGGCCCCGCCCCAGACGCTGGCGTGGCGCTTCCTGCGGGCATCGCTTTGGACGTGTGGTTCACACTGGCCACTGCCGCTCGAGGGCCTCTAAAGGGACCCGCCACACTGGGAGTACTCGCGGGCGGGTAAGTGGCGGAAGCAGGCCGAGCTATTTTAATGGCAGATGCGACAATTCCCTGGGGCTGGTTCGAAACCGGGAACGCGGGAGGTTGGCTCGGCGCTGCGGTCGACGGAGACCAGACTGGGGAGACGGGAGTGGCTGGCTGAGGGGGAGAGGGCTTGGCAGAAGGTTTGGGAGCCACGGGAGGCGGGGTCTTCTGCTTCGAAGAGTGGCCCTGCATGAAATTGCAGGCCTCCGCTCCCAGGCTGAGGTAGTCTTCTTCGGGTCCTGACTCGAAGCCGGCCCCAGGCCCTCGCTTGCCCTCTGCGTTCTGCACGAGTGACAACAGTTCAGGGTTGGGACTGACCTTGGGGTGCTCTTTGAAGGTAAACATGGGCTTCGAGGCACCCCTCCGCCTGGCCTCCTGCAATATGCCCGTTCTCTTGGCTGGCACAGCAATCCTCTCATCCCGGGAAGCGATCTGTTCGGTGGGCTCATAAAAGGCCTGCTGGGCCCACGGGGCTGGCTGGGGCCACGGGGGTGGTTGTGCCGGGGCAGCTAAGGGGCTGGTCACCCCTCTGGACGAGACTTCTGGAGGAGGGGTGACCGCAGAGTAAGGGGGTGGCGCAGGAAAGTCATACAGAGGACTTGCGACGGTTCTGGTAGGGGCAAATGGCACCGCCGCCTGGTTCGTCGATCCCGGGAAGGGCTTGGCCGTCCTGTTGGAGGCTGCCAATCTGTGGGCCTCGGGCATCTCTGCGGCTCCACTCAGGCCATTCTGCTGAGCCGCGTGGCTTCGTTCCACGTAGCTTTTCGCCACGTTGCTCTGAATTCTCAGGCTTTCTTCTTCCCTCCTCTGGTAGGAAGCGACTGTCCTCAGCCCGTCTGCTTGGCCATCCTCGACTTCCCCGCGGGCCGCTCCCTCTGCCTTCACCTCCTCTTGCTGAGCGGTGATCTGGTCCATCCTCTCCCTCCTCTTGGCAAACATGAGGACGCCCTTCCCCGAGCTGTCTGGCAGCATCTGCATCTTGTCTCCACTTTTCAGCTTCTTCTCCACGTCTAGCAGCCCAGAGTCCCAGTCCGAGGTCCACGCTGGGGCTTCTTGGTCGTCGTCGGTGTCCGAGACGATCTCTTCATCTACCTCCGACTCGCTCGTGAGCTTGACTTCCACAAGCCCGTCCTTTTCGCTCTCTTCCTCGGTGTCGGCTTCGCGCTGGAGCTCTCCGGTGCCGTAGCTGATCAGGGTATACTTCTTCGCCCTCCGGCGGCGTTTCTTAAACATCAACACCCCCTTGGAGTTGGGGTTGAGGGCGTTTGTGAGGAGGAGGGCGATGCTCTTGCACTTGGATTTGGCTTCCTTCACCTGTTTCTCGGACAAGCTTTCGCTCCGCCGGAAACCTGGAAGAAAGACCAGAGAGAGAGAGATTACGGAAACGAATGAGGTCAAGGGAACCAAAGCCACAGCGAGCCCCTGGAGGCGGGGGCTGCTCCCCAGTCACGTGGCAGTGCTTCTCCTGTCTCGGGAAACTCCACCTGGACAACCGACCCGGGACAGGCCGGAGTGTGCATCTGTCATTAACTGTTACAAAAAGGAAGCCTCGTGCCAGTGGAGGAGTCTGCCTACCAGTGTGAAAATTACCCAGCAAGTAAGAATCAAAAACAGGATTTGAACCCTGATCTTCCTGCGGCCAAGGCGAGGACCGCCCTTTCACACACTAATGTTGAAATGTTCTCACCGTATCTTTCCTAAATGGCTTTCAAAAGGAGGCTTCTCAAGAAGATTTCAGTATCAAAATTGCTCTCATGTAACTCATAGAAGGAGCCCTGATCTACAGGACCTGGATTTCAAATTCCAGCTTGGCTGTTTATTACCTGCGTGACCTTGGGCTGGTCACTGAACGTCTCCAGCCCCCATTTTCTCAATAGCAAAATGGATTAAATCAGGAATTCTCCACCTGTTTGATGTCACAGACCCCCGTGGCCACCAAGTGAAGCCCTATGGGCCCCTTCTCAGAACAATGTTTTTAAATGCATACAATGAAACATACAAGATTGCAAAGAAAGCCAATTCTACTAAAATCAGTAATCAAAGTATTAAAAACAAAACAACTTTAGGGACCCCAGGTTAAGAACTTCTGGACTAAACAAGATCTGAAGTCCTTGCCAGTTTCAAGTATCTGACCCTATAAATCTCCATTCCTTTCCACCTCCAAATCTAGCAGTATAACCTACGTCAAAATTTCATTTTTGTCGTGACTAGTTCCAAAGTCACTGACACAAGTACTAACTCAACATCTATAAAGCAGATAACATCAATTCATTTAAGAAATGTCAGCCCCAAATGTTTGCAGACCAATCTAATAATCATTTTTTTTTTACCAGATTTGTGATTTCACAGAGTCTGGTAATCAGGGCATTTCAGCACCTCAGGAAATTTAAAGTCTGGGAGAGTGGTACAAGCACTGACAGACCAAATATTTATCAAAGGAAGCACTTGAACCCAGGTTTTTCTGACTCTGAGAATGGCTCTCTAGTCACACTATCTACTATTCCAAAATGCCTCCTGATAAAAAAAAAATAATATATCACATATCTACAGAAATTTTAACTCACATTTCAGTACTCCTTCAACTCTTACAAAGGTAAATGCTAGATATAATAAATTTCATAAGGCATACAAACGATTGTGATTTTAAAATTTGATTGGGATTGGAGGAGAATGGATCATATAACTTCTACTAGGTTTCAACATTTTAAAAATATAACCTACTTTTCCCAAAGTTTCTTTTGTTAGATATTAGCTACTGACATAAAAAAAAAGATTTGGCAACAGTTTGATTTCTAACTCTATTTGCTTAGTTTTTTTTTTAAGGATCTAGTAAATATTTGTCACAAATTAGAAACAAATTCAAGTGCCTTTGAATTTCACAAAAGAGGTAAGTCTGTTTCTTATTTTTGAAAAATCAAAGGAAAGATATACTTAGTTCTCACCAGCACTGGAAGGAACACACGCCAGACAGACCTAAGAGCTTACCAGAAATAATTCTGTCATCATGACACAATGATTTTATGAAATCAAATTGCTGAGATTCTCCAGTGTTCTCATTTTATGGAGGGACAGAGAAGCTGGGAAGGCTGAGCTCATGCAGGATTCCTGTCTCCAGTTCTTTGGAAACTGAGCCCCAAGTGTCCAGTTGTTACTGCCTTGGGTGCCAAAATTTAAAGTATGTGAACTCTTCTCTCTGACGCCCCTTTAATGCATTATAAATGGGCTGATTACATATAGATGCTTACAGCACAAGCCACAGCCGGCTCCACATGCCACTGAGGACACAGGTGGCTCTGCTAAAAATATGCCCTGGAAGGCATTAGAATTGGGCGATGCTACTCACAGCATCCCTGATTCCAGACTCTTTGAAGATAGCCCTCAAATCTCTCACCAGGATTCTTGACAGAATCCACAAAGGAAACCTCAAGAGTAGTCATAGACTGTCTCCTCCCCACTCCCTTTCACAGGGAAAGCACCGAGGCTCATCTAGCCCTTACTACTTTCCTTCCCGAGAACCCCCTCCCTTCTACTACTGAGCAGCCTGGGATGTCATCATATCCCGCTTTAAGCACCCCTACCTCCTGGGCTGAGAGTCTGACCTCTATATCAAGGAGGTAGACCAAGCAGCCAGGGCACTGTGCAGCCTCATGCAGAATCCCTGAGCTGCTGGGATCAGGTATCCCACATGCTGGTGTCTGTCAAACAGACTTCTGCAAGCATCATCAAGCTGCAGACATTTCTCTCTCACTCTCTCTCTCTCTCTCTCTCTCTCTCTCTCTCTCTCTCCCTCCCTCCCTCTCTCTCCCTCCCTCTCTCTCCCTCTCTCTTCTTCTCTTTCTCTTTGTCTCTTGAAAGCTGGATCTGCTTTTACTATCCTTACTGTAGCCTGACTCTGAAACATACCTCTCAGCAGTAGCAGTAGCTACAGAACCAGTGACTTTGGCCCTTTAAATTCAGTCTGTCAATTTCAAATGTGTTTCTGGGCTGTCTTAACAGTGACACAGTTCATTTTTTTTTTTTAAATGAAAACAAAACCCAGCTGGGCAATACTTCTCTTTAGTAAGGGAATAGAGAAGCAAGTGCGACACTTTGCACACTGCTAATTGACTCTCAGCCCTGTTCCAAGGGGCAGACACTGCCGGCCCCTGGTGCCTGCCTACAGGGAGAATAAAAAGGATTGCCAATGAGCAAAGAGAGAAAGTTGACAGCCTGGGCGAAATCCTCCTGAAAAACAGAATGGCGTGGGAGAGGGAAAGGGGCAGGAGTAGGTGATGGACCAGGTGAAACAGCCCCTTGCAAGGGGCCAACGCAGGGGCAGGAGTTACTTACGGGCGTGCCGGGCTCGGTGCTTGTGGGGCCTCCGGTGATCCCTTTCTGAGATCTGCTGATCTTCTCCCCGCTCAGTGCCTTCCGAGGAGAGGGGAAAGGAGACCACAGAAGGAGGTGCTTCAGCCCGCCCTCCTTCCACTTGAAAATCACCACACCCCTTTCTTCCTGCCCAGTTGGACCCTTCTGCCTTCTCTCTGTCGTAGGAGTAGTTGATGACCACTTCAGCTCTGGAGAGGTGGGGGGCTCCCGCCTCTCTCCCCTGGGTAACATGCAACTCTTGGCCACTAGAGAGCTGAATTAGCTTGTCACTGGGCCCCTGACCAGAATCCTCTTTCTCATCAGAGAAGGCAGACGTTTCTTGGCCAAACCCTCCCTGCAGCTGGTCTGGGTGAGGGTCAGGGGAGGGGTGGTTTTCAGCTCCTTCCGGGATAATCCCCACCAAGGTCCCAGGGTCTTTGTGTCTGTCAGGCAACAGGGACAACTGCAGCTCCACCACGGCTCCTGGCCTGCCCCCTTCTATCTCCCCCAAGACTATTGACTCTGCCCAGGGTCTTCTTGGGGGGTGCAGAGCTATTTGGGGGCTTGGCTTGGTCTCTCCTGAACAATCGGGGCTCTTTTCATCTTTCTGGCCAGGAAATGCCCTCTGGCTCTGGGTGCAGTGGGGCCAAATTTCCAGGCTGGTTCTCTCCACGTGGTCCTCATGGACAAGGTGGTCATGCTCTTTGTTTGCAGTTTCAGGGATGTAGGTCTCATTTATTCCATTGGATGGTCTGCACACAAAAGATAATTCCAAACAGTTATTTTCATGGGTGTTTCTTTGAGGGGCTAGCCAAAGAATTTCTGACACTTTTATGAGGTCTGATAAATGTAGTACAAGGTCAGTCTGTTTCTGCCTAAATGTCTGCAGCAGTGACCGGGAGGAATGAGGTTGGCGGTATGTCCCCTTTCCCTCCACCCCCTTGAGAAGCAGCACGTTGTACTGGATAAGGCACTGGCCAGAAAAGCCAGGCAACTTGGGTTCAAATCCTACCTCAGACACTTACTGTCAGTGTGACCCTGGGTAAGTCGCTTAAGATCTCAAACTCAGTTTCTTGATCTGTAAAAAGAATGGGTTGGACTCAATGACCTCTAAGATACCTTCCAGCTCTGGATTGATGATTCTCTGATCCCTTCTTAAGAACTTGGCCCTAAAGGAAAGGAGAAACCCTCCTTATCACTTTCATTTCCAATCCCCATCTCGATTTTGTCTCCAAGAGCTGGGGGATGCCAGAACCATCTCCTAGATCCGTATATTTGGCATGAGGCCACCAACCCATCTGGATGCTTAACAGAATTTTTCGGTTTTCATCCAGATGTTTGATGTCACATAAACAAAGGCCAGCTCTTCCCAGACAGGGCCAAGAGCTCCCAGATAAAAGTGATCCAATAGCCTTTTGGGAGATTTTATTTTTGGATGGAATGGAATCGAAGGCAACATCTCTGACCACAGGAAGTATTTGGTCTTGGTAACGAGCACCCCTTTCCGTGCTGCTGGGATTTGGGAGGCCATGGGATATTAATCATTGGAATCTGGTCGCCTCCCTCACCGAAGCCACCTGAGCAGCTCATTTGTGTTTTCTATCACATCTTCTCTCTGGGAGCTTCCCTAGAAGAGAAGCCATTTCGACAGCTCATGGTAAAGGGGCTGAGTTTCTTAGCCCAGACCTTTGCCTCTGAACTCAGGCCCTCTCCTTCTGTTTGGCTTCTACATCTTTTGTTCTCACTGGGTAAAGAAGTATAGGTTAAAAGATGTTTAAAACAAACAAACAAAAACCTCCTTTCTCAAGTTCTAATTATAAAAAAGCAACTGTATGAACTTGAATTTTCCAGTTGCTAATGAATTTCTTCTCTGCCCCTTTTCTACCTCAGTCAGTCATATACAGAATTATTAAAGGGAGTTTATTCCAATATTGTGAGACTAAGAACAGTGTTGTATAAATGCTGGCTGGTGTTATTATTATGTGTTTTATGAACCTTGTTTCTTTTGGCCTTCACAAAAACCCTGCAAGATAAGTATTTTTATTACCTCCATTTGACAGATGAGGAAACTGAAGCAGAGATTAAGAAAACTAGTAAAGTAGGGTGGCACCTTCTCTGCCATTTGTAGCCTTAGAGAGCTGCCTTAAGCCAGAGAAGTAATATAACCTGCCAGCATATGTCAGAGGAAGGATTTGAACCTAGGTCTTCCTGGCTCCAAGGCCAACTCTTCCTCTGCCATGCTGACTGCTTCTCCATGGAGTAGGAGAGTTCAACCTTTTGTGCATTATGGACCAATTAACTGGCAGTCCCCTTTTCAGAATAAAGTTTTTAATTGCATAAAACAATCTGTATAGGATTACAAAGAAAACCAATTACATCAAAATTAGATTATTTAATTTTAAGGATAAGTTCATAGACTCCAAGTTAAGAACCCCTGCTCTACAGAGCAATGGATAGGGTTGCTTCCTCACATAAGCCCATTATAAAAAAATGCTTAATAAATGCGTATTGCAAGAAATGCAAATTAAAATAATTCTGAGGTACCACCTCACACCTGTCAGGTTGGCTAATATGACAGAAAAGCAAAATAATAAATGTTGGAGGGGATGTGGGAAAATTGGGACATTAATGAACTGTTGGTGGAGTTGTGAGCTGATCCAACCATTCTGGAGAGCAATTTGGAACCATGCCCAAAGCGCTGTAAAACTGTGCATACTTTTTGATCCAGCAATACCACTACTAGGTCTGTATTCCAATGAGATTTTTATAAAGGAGGGCGGGGGAAGGGACCTATCTGGTACAAAAATATTTGTACTCTTTTTGTGCTCTTTTTGTGGTGTCAAAGAATTGGAAATTGAGAGGATGCCCATAGATTGGGGAATGACTGAACAAGCTGTGGTGTATGAATGTCATGGAATACTGTTGTGCTATAAGGAACGACGGTCAAGCCAATTTCAGAAAAACCTGGAAAGACTTATGAACGGATGCAAAGTGAAACGGAATGCAAAAGTGTCCTGCAAAGCAGGACAAGGAAAACACAGTAAGAGATACACTGCATGATGATCAACCGTGAGTGACTTAGCTCTTCTCAGCAATACAGTGTTCCAAGACAATCTCAAAGGGCTCGTGATGAAACATGCTGTCCACCTCCAGAGAAAGAACTGATGGAATCTGAATGCAGATTGAGGCATACATTTTGCACTTTCTGTATTTTTGTGTGTGCTTTCCCCTTTTAGGTCTGTGTCTTCTTTCACAACATGACTAATATGATCATATATTTTGCACAATTGAACACATATAACCTATATCAAATTGTTTACTGTCTTAGGGAGGGGGCAGATGGAGAAGAGAGGGAGAAAATTTGGAACTCAATTTTTTAAAAATGAATGTTAAAATTGTCTTTACATGTAACTGAGGGAAAATAAAATATTATTAAAAATCAATGTCTATTGCATTGAATTTTAATCTCTGCAATGCCAAATATCCACTGTTTTTCTTTGGATAAGGCCTACAAAGCATTCTTGGTATACTACTGTAAAAATAGTATGTTAGGTCTACAGGGGTACTAAGGAAAAGGGCTATACCGAGAAAGGATGAAGGTGAAATCAGCCAGAGAAATGAAGACTACGTGATACCACCTGTATTTCTGATCTCTGGTTGTAGCTCGTTACATCAGATTAGATCTTTCTGGACTAAGAAACAATATGCTGCATTAATTATATTCCACTGGAGGCTACTGGCCAGGTCAGGAGGTTTGTAATTTAGCCAGGCTCAGGATAGGCTCTGGATTGCATCTCTTGGAGTTATGAGAGCCCTCTGCTGAGTACATACAGATAGGGTAGTTTGAATTCATAAACATTTCCTTGTAGGCTAGAGTACTTGAGGACAAGCCAGAGAAATGTTAGCCTTTATTGGTAGCTGAGGCTAGGAGTATAGCACATAAGCATTAAAAAAACCAAACTTTTTTCTATTTTAGAGATAGAGAGAGAAGAGAAATTCATATACCTCAGAAGGTTATTTTCACTTCCATCAACACGCAAAATTAATTCTATGTTTCCTGCTTTTAAGTCCAGTAATTTATAAATATATTTAAAGTCTCATTGACCCATTGACCATATTATATGGGCAATTGTTCAGCAAAAAAGAGACCTATCTTCTAGTGAGAGTAAGTTTGATGTAGTGGCTAACACAGTGACTGGCCATGGAGCCAGGAAGATCTGAGTTCAAGACCTGTCTCAGACATATTCAAGATGTGTGACCCTGGCCAAATCACTTCAACTCTCAGTTCTCTAGATAATTCTTTCCAACCATGATTTGCAGAGAAGGTGCTGACCTGCATTGGTTGAAGGAGTTCATTCATCAAGAATAACCCTATTCCAATGAAATCCCAAGTCCAGTCCTTATCCTCTGGTGAGAGATGACATGGGCATGAGGGAAAGAGAACTATTTAATCTCATAAAACACAATTAATTTCAGCCTTATTTTGATTTGACATGCTAAGAGATAACCCTATCCAATTAATGGTTTCTTTAAAATAAAAAAGCAGTAAACGGAATTCTTAGAATTAAGAATAACAGGTGAAAATTAAAAATGATAGAAGGAAAATTAAGCTGTTCACTGGAATCCTTTCAGAGACTCATACTACCACCTTTCACTAGTTGGAATATAAAAGTCAGTGTCTGCCTCAAACTTTCAGGAAAAAGAGTCCATTGTGATCAAAACAAGACCCAGAAGTGAGCGTCCCAGATTACAAATGAGTTACAATGGAATTTAACTCACTAACTCAGTGAAGGAATTAGCCCTCCAATCGCCTAAAAAGGAGAGAAACAAGAAGAGAGCTTCTCTTCTTGAAGGAAAAAAAAGGTGCCTAAAGATGGCCCTGAGAGTCTTAGCCCTGGTAATTTCAAGCAGTAATCACAGTCAATAAACTCCTTACTAAGTCCCTACTAACCATCAGGCACTCACTTCAGTTGAGAACCTTAAGTATTTGGCTAAATGAGCTGAGTTTCAATGGAATATTGATGAAAATCCTTCTGGGATGCCTCGCTGTGGTGTGGATATAACTGCATTCTCAAAGGCTGGGCCAGTACAACACCATCTTTGGCAGATACCACCAAGCTGGAAAGGAAGAGCTAGAAGAGGACCATCTAGTCCAATCCCCTCACTTTACAGATGAGGAAACTGAGGCTTAGAGATCTAGAGCTGGAAGGGAACTTAGAGGTTATCTAGACCCCCTTATTTTACAAATGAGGAAATGGAGGTCCAGGGAAGTTAAATAACTTTGGTGTCGTTGTTCAGCCATTTCAGTTATGTCCAACTCTTTATGACCCCATTTGGTGTTTTCTTGGCAAAGATACTGGACTTGTTCGCCATTTCCTTCTCCAGCTTATTTTACAGATGAGGAAACTGAGGCAAACAAGGTTAAGTGACTTGCCCAGAGTCACATAGCTAGTAAGTGTCTAAGGCCAGATTTGAACTCAGGAAGATGAGTCTTCCTGACTCCAGGCTTGGTGCTCAATCCACTGCACCACCTAGCTGCTCTAAGCAACTTTCCCAAGGTCATATGAGTAATAAATATGAGGTAGAATTTGAACCCAAGACCTCTGACCTCAGAGCTAGTTCATTTCTTTTTTGACTCTACATCCATGTGGTACTGTCATCTAAGCCTTTGTGTAGAGAGGCTGATCACCAGACTGGCCATATACTGATCATGTTTACAGCCACAGAGGATCTGTGATCTGCAGTGATGGAA